CAATGTTTGTGGAAATTTTTTTATAGCAGCCCCAGGAAACAAATGTGGGCAGGCACTCTTATTCTCCTCTTCCAGCAGCATTAAGAGACTTTGGAGCTACTCAAGGTCACAGTATATGGACAGATCAATTTGCTAAGATGAACTATGTTTGACTTCAGGGTCTAATTTCTGTTTCAGAGTAAGGGATTATTATGTCTTCTGCCTTGGATCTTGTCCATTTGTCCTCCATTAAAATGGGAACAGAAAGACATATATTATAACTTCGCACTTTAAGTTTACAATTGAGTTTCACAATCCAGTTTCCATTTTGTTTTCTTAACTATAATCCCAGCACGGATATGAATTCATCTTTTTAATTTCACATTATGTGGTTTAGTGTTTTCTCTATAGAAGGGTCTCAGAATGCACCACTCTTAGACACTTGAAATCTTGTATTCAGTTGCTATACTCAAGCTCTGTACTGAAAGGGAAGGTCAGAAGAACTGCCATACTGAGCTACACTTTTTGGCCACTTACTACAGAGACACATCTAGACACTGGCACTCTGTAGTGACCCAGCAATCAAAAGTCTTGAAGTCTTTGGATAGTATTGAAGTTTGTAGCACAAAGCAGCAGGTTATAAAATCCACGTGAGTCGGGTGGTAGTGGCAGTGCACGTCTTTAATCCCAGCACTTGGTAGGCAGAGGCAGCTGGATCTCAGCGAATTTGAGGCCAACATGGTCTAGAGAGCGAGTTCCAGGACAGCCAGGGCTATGCAAAGAAACCCTGTCTCAAAAAAAAAAATCCATGTGATGAGTGATAGAAACCCTTCACTTTGAATCTACTCTGTATTTAGTGGTTGGACTAAGCCATCTTACTGTGCCATTCTTCTTATGGTTTCTGGTTGTATAACTGAGAATATACATGCACAAAGCAGCTGACCTTCTACATTGATCATGATTGTTATGGTGAGAAAGGCTAATGGAAACCATAAAACTCTTCTATCAAAGCAGTGGTCAAGAGCAAGACTGTGAAAGGTTTGGTAGCATTCATCTGAGTTCGAGGCAAACCTGGGCTACATAGATCCTGTCTTCCATTCTCCAAATTAAAAAAAAGTGCAATACTATAAAGAATGACAGACTTATCCACCAAAAAAGGAACAGCATCCTTTTTTTGCATAGGATGTTTTGGGATAAAAGCACTTGGGAAATAGCTTAGCGAAAGAGGGAGTGTTCTGACAATTCTTCCAGAAGAGGAGTGAAAGATTTACCTATGTGAAAGATGCTCCCCTCACCAAGATGAGAGATAAGGAATTGGGGCTGAGAGATTTCTACACAGATCTTGTCAAAACCATGTGTCTCCCCGTGGCTCTCTCAGCCTAGTGATGTTGCTGAATCAGTACCCTCTTTCTCCTGGGTGGTAGACAAGCACTCAGGCTGTTATTTTTGGGGGCCTTTATCTGGAAGACCCTCCCACATACTGTTGCTCTTCTGCCATCTGTTTTATATTCTACCCTTCAGGCCCAGCGGGAGACACTAAGAGAATAAGTCTTCATTTTCTACAACTGTAGCTTTAGGGAAACAGCTAAGATCTCTTCCAGTTAATCTGGCATGCGACTCTTGTAGAAGCACATGTAGTATGTCTGTCCAACATCAGTTTTACCGTGGGAGTAAAGCAAACTATTGTTTGGGATAACGGCAATGGCAGTTGGAGGACTGCTGTATACGAATTCACATGTCCCTTCCTGCTGGCTATGGAGGGCAGATGTGAGCTGGCATGAAACTCAAGTTCTTTTTATTAGTTAAGGATTGGCCTTGAACTTCTTAAATATTCATTTTTATAAATAAAGACATCCTTCACATTATAGCAAACCAAAGATAGTCATTTATTTTAGACATTCCACATACAAGCTCTCAAGAAGACATCTAAGTAAACATTAATACAGAACGAAGACAGATGTCCATTTACACTTGCTCCTCGGATTAATTCAGGTGGAGATGGAGGCTTTGGACCACATGAATCATTGAGCTGCTCCTTCCACAGGGGTTTCCCTAATCCATGTATCTTGTCTGTCACTGAGCGCCAGAACTCACAAAATACTTTCTCCAATCAACCGATCCACCTTTGCCTTGCAGGGTGATAGGGAGAGGGAAATTTTCCTGTTACTGAACACAAGTGGCTTGTCCTTCCTCCTTACTAAGCAAGCTGGGCTGGCATTGCTATCATCTTCTTAAACCAGGAGATGGACTCAATGTGGCCCAGAGGTGGCATACAGTGGGTATGAATCTGGCCTTTCTATTTCTTTCATTTCATTTCTATGATGTTCCATGGCTTCATGAACATGTGCACTCCTGAAATTTTGGCAGTTAACTACTCAGAAAGAGAAGTTGTGATTTATCCAAATTCAGGAAGTAGTTACAATACCAAACTTCTTTTGGCTTCTGATCTAATACACATTCCTTGGTGGCAGGAAGCCCTGATCTATTTAATGCATGAGTTTTCTTCTTTACAAAAACATGTTTCTTTCCAGGTGAAAGAATTAGGCTGAAAATGTAACATAACCATCAGTAAGAATTAGCAAGGTATTTGTGGAAATTAATGAAAGCCTAGGCAGGAAATACAAACACAGTTTCTAAAATGTCTTTGCCAGAATGCCAGAAAATAAAGAATCTGTTTATACATATACCATTGTTCAAAAATAGGACTTGAGACAAGCTCCCAAAAAATATGACGGAGTAAAATAAATAGGTGTAGGTAGTTGGCTGAGGTGAACTGTTCTGTCGAGATTTCCAACATCCAGAGCAACGAAGCAGCAAGTTATAAAAATCACAGTGTTTCTAAGATTTAAAAAAAAGACCTGTTTTCTTCCTTGAAGTCCTTGGTATTGAGATCTATGGATCATTACAGAGTTGTGATAAAGATGTATTACTCAGGATGTGATCACTCATCCTAACTTTCATGCATTGGTTGACAAAAGAGAAACACACAAGCACCTTGGTTTAAGATGGTAGAAAGATCTGTTTCTTAAGAACGGAGAAAAGGACCACAAGATTAACACACATCCTAACAGATTGTTTAAGATTAGGATTACAGGTAGTTGAACACAAACCTATCTAGCTGTATCTTAGACACAGGAGACAATCACTTTGTCATGGTGGAGACAGAACAGGCCCTGGATCTTTCCTGTTGCTGGGAAAATGTATCAAAAAGTGGTGCTCAAACTGGTTTTCTATTTGCAATTTACAAAAGGTCCAGATGGGGTGACTGACCATCCACATTACCAAGGACTTAACTAGATTATTTTTTGCTGTAACACTTCCTTGCTGGAGGACAGTCACATGGTCCCCATCATTTTGTATGCCTCTCTGAGGTTACAACATGGTCTTCTATATAACAGTACATAAGTATTGGTGAACAAGCCATCTACTTTTTGAATCATGCTTCCACATAAGTATCAATCCTGTGTACATGTTACTAAGTGGCAATTTATACTAATGTGCATCTTTTCTAGAGCTGGAATTCTAGAACATCTACACAATTAAAAGCACAAGCCTACTGGCACCACACAATCTTACTGGTCTAGGCAGAGCACCAACATGAAGCTGCATGTACCATTAGAAGTCTCTAATTCAGACAATACACAGGAAATAAGCTACTGAGGTGTCAACAATTATAACATTTCCAACAAACACACATCACAAACAGTTACCAGCATTTACCTGAGTCACTTGCCTTCCAACAGGCTACATCCTATGTTGGCACCATAAAGTGCTTTTCTTTCTAGTGTCTACCCTCTTTGATACTTTGCTGAACGGGTCTCAAAAGATTCAAATATACTCACACAAATATCATCTCTAGATGTTATCAAACAAGAGAGCATCTGACAGGAACACAACCTAGCAAGAGCCCTGACTATGGTTCTCCTTCTACTATACTTGGGACTTCTTCCTCCCCAAAGCAAAGCTACACTGGGTTACCTATGTATTAAAGGTATGAATGCCACAGGCCTCATCTTCAAGTAACTGGTTTGGGAAGATCAAATTCTTGAATTTCATCTGTAATTCTATGAGTTAACTATTTACCCACCAGAAACTTTCTGGCAATATTTAGCTGATTAATGCCAGGGGTTATCAAAGACATTTCCCCCAGATGAGGAGGGAAATGGGGAAAATAAGGTGATTCTCTGGAGTGGAACTTTATAAACAGCTCTACCTTCACTGAGTGAACCACAGAGCTGTGGAATGATTTAGAACTCTCTAGTCAGGTTTATGATCCTAATAACAGGAACTAGAAGCTTCAGAACCAGAGGCTAGTACGTGTGACGTCAACTCTGGAAATGTAGTCTGGACTGAGGTAGTAGCTCTTTGATTTAAAGCAGGCCTAAATAGTCCATTAAATATTTCAGGTCTCACATCCTTCTTCCTTATAATCTTAAACTTTCAGAAATACTATTATATGACACTGAAATGTAGAGCTAGGCAGTTTAAAATATGCTAGCATTATCAATAGGTCTTCTTATAGGTTAAGAATCAGAGAACTGATAGGGTATAACTAGACTCTGAAGTCTGATTTTCTCTTAATGAGACAGCACTACCATGCATCCCCTCCCATCTGAGTGGGTCAAGGTAGTCTAAAAAGGTCAGGCTAGAGCACCTAGAACAATTAAGAGGTAAGTATAGACTTGTGATGAACAATGAAAGATTACTGGTCCCTGGAGAAGCAGCAGCCACTGGAGTTAAGTCTTCAGGAACAGAGAGGGAGATGAAGGGTGGGTAAGTGCTTCTCTTGGTGGGGGACAAGGTATTAGCAACATGACTTCAGCAGCGACACAGGGAATTAGGATCAACTTTCTAATGCAGACTTCTGAAGGACGTTGTAAAACTTTCATTCTTGTTTTATGCCCTCAAAACCAATATTGATCTGATACAGTTTTAGTCAAACTCCTAAAAGTTCTACCCAGATATAAAAATCCATTGTCAAGTTGCTGCTAAGATCTCATATGGGTGATAACACTATAAAATGTTTCACCATTCATATATTTGAAAAGAACTCTCACCCACGTGCAAGAGTTTTGAAAGTTGCTGGACAATAGCATTAGCCTCAACATTCTTATGGGAATTTTATTCTCAACTCAAAAAAAAAAAAACAAAAAACAAAAAACCAAAACTTATTCTCTCACCTTACTGAAAGTCAAGACTCATAGGAGAGAGGCAATCTGAGCATGTTAGAACATGAGGTGAGGGTAGATGAAATAATTTAGCTTACTTATATTCTCAGGCCTGTCTTGGGAACTGCAATTTATAGCTAAGTAAAGACTGCTTTAAAGAGTGGGAGGAGTAGGGTAAGATGGCTAATGGGGCGTGTGGAAAAAGGTCTTCCTGAATTCATCACTCTTCCCCCTGAGCAGGCTCTCTGGTGAGCACCCAGAGGGAGAGTATGGCAGTAGTCTTTCTCTCATGTGGACTTCCCGGTGTTTGGTGAGGAAAGAGCCTTTACTGAAATGTTTGCCACACTGGGCACATGTGTAAGGCTTCTCTCCAGCATGGATTCTCCGGTGTTCTCGGAATCTTGTGCAGTTATTGAAGCTCTTCTCACAATCCCCACATTTGTAGGGATTCTCTCCAGCATGGACTCTGCGGTGGGCACTGAAGTGAGAACTGTTGGTGAAGCTCTTCCCACACTCTCCACACTGATAGGGCTTCTCTCCAGTGTGCGTTCTCTGATGGATGATAAGACTCGAGCTCTGACTGAAGCTTTTCCCACACTCCCCGCATCTGTACGGCTTCTCTCCAGTGTGGATTCTCTGGTGGGCTCCAAAATTTGAGGAGTCATTAAAGCTTTTCCCACAGTCAAGACATTTGAAAGGCCTTTCCCCCGTGTGGATTCTTTGGTGTCTGATTAGGCTCCTGCTTCTACCAAAGCACTTCCCACAGACACCACACTTATGAGGGTTTTCCTTCTGGTGGGTCATCCTGCACAGAAGACGAGCACTCCTTCCAAAATTTTCTCCATATTTGAGAAGTCTGTATGGTCTCCTTCCCACAAAAGGCCTCTGATGCACAGTAGCCTTCCCTATATCTCTAGGTTGAGACATCAGTTTTCCCTGTCTAATTCCTTGAAGGTTTTCCCATTGTCTTCCTGAGATGTATTCCCTTTTACAGTATCTACTGGGGTTGGTATTTAAAACAAATCTTTTAGACTTTTCTATTAATGCTCCGTGGGGATCTTTGTTCTTAAATATTACCTGTGTTGGATCCTCCTTAATACTACTTCCAGTTTCAAAATCTGGAAAAGGAAAAGACAGTAAAATTTCACAAAACTCCAACATTAACAAAAATAATTTAATAATTAATCATGCCTACAATGGTTATGATCCTCTAATGTTTATGGCTACACACTGTGACTTACTGATACACCATGCTTTAGCCTCTTTCAGTTCTATAAAAAGGTCAATGACATTTGCTACCATGTTGGTTCTCAGAACTGTTTTGAACTGAATTGCTATTCAAGGTACCATTCCTCATCTTATCTTTATTAACTCAGCAACAACTTGGTTTATCTCTCTGAAGTTGTAAACCATTCTATTTTCCTTCTTTCACATCTACACTAAAATATTACACTATACCTTATTTGAATATTTTCTAATGGACAACTCCAAATTCTTCAAGATATTTCTAATTCTTCAATAGCTAGTCAGGTTCTAGCCTAGGGTACTCTTTTCCCCATATGATCTTGTAGCTGGTTTTTCTGGTTACCTCATGGACCACAATAATACAAATACTTCTTTATAATACTTCCAAAGCTAAATTTTCATTACACCCCATTCACTATAAAGTACATCTTAGATTCCACTTCTCTGTGGATTTTATGGGAAGCATGACATAGTGAAGAGCCAGAAGCTTTGTAATGACATAGTTTGGTTCTAGCAACATCCTGGTCTCTAGTTAACTGTGTTTTTGTTATTAACTTTTAATTATGGGAAATTCACACACACAAAAGAATGAACAGTGTAATGTGTATAAAGAACTCCCATGAACTATTTACTTACTTTAGCAATGATTTATTATTTATGGCTAATCCAGTGTCATCTCTATTCCCATACATTTCCAGGTCTCTATCCAGACACTTTGATGCAAATTATAAAATACATATTATTGTCTTTCATAAATATTTCACAAGCTGACTATCTTGGGCTAAATCAATCTAGTTTTGATCCCCCAAATCTTTGTGATTAAGTATATACGATAACATCTTGTTCTTAATTGTAGGTATCAACTGACTTCCCTTCCACATATTCAAGTGAAATTGCTGGTTAGAGGACTAGCTTTGGCATGGGTGAGGAAGAGAAGACAGTCAACAGTCAGTTCATTAACTTATATAAAAAGCTACAGTAATGCTACTTTTGATTAGTACTCTTTTTGAGGTTTTATTATTGGATTCAATATTGTTCTAGGATTTAGAGAAGTTATAACCTATTAGTTGACTCAGACAGTAACTGGTAATTTGATTACATTCTGAAAGTCATCTAAAAATAATATTCACCGGTATTCTTTTCACAGTTATTAAAAAGGAAGTTGGAACTTGGGATATGACGCAGTAGTTAAGGACATGGGTTGCTTTTCCAGATGAATAGGGTTTATGGCTCACAACTATCTGTAACTCTAGTTCCAGGGGTCTGACACCCTCTTTCAGCTTCTGTGGTTACCAGGCATGTACATGTGGTATATGAGGGAAAAAAACCCCAAAATAAAAATAAATAAATAACATTTAAAGAAAGAAGTTATATTGGACTTACTTATTCTTGTTTGAGACAGAGTTTCTCAACCCTGGCATTGGGTGTTGTGGAACTCATTCTGTAGACTAGATTGGTCTCAAACTCAAGAAATCTGCCTGTTTTAGCCTCCAGAGTACTGGTATTAAAAGTGTGTGCCAACAAACCTGGCTTGATTTACTCTTTATGATTTCTCATATAAATATCACCAGACAGCATATGTACAAAGTCCTTGCTCTGCTGTAACTGGCTGGACATTAGCTCTTCTTAATGAGCTTCTACAACTAATTCAGGTATTGTGATTGTGTAGTTCATTTAAAAATGTAATGTATATAGGTTGTTAATGGACAGTCATCTATAATAGTCAAGTTTGTAGTCATGTTAGGTTTTCTAGATGTACATAGATATATTTTTTATAGACATTCTTCATATCTTTCAAAGACTACAGAATAGGACATTTAATGTTTTAATAACTTAGGACTTTTCATGACAATGAGACCCTCTGCTAGTGGCAGCACCAATCTACTTCAAGAAAAAGATGGGCATCGAAGAGGCTCCTTATGGAGTTTGATAGCCATTTGGGGAAGAAACTGCTCTTGCCTGGACTGTTACATAAACTGGACACAGAGAACCCTCAGAGAGAGAACTGCTGAACTTGCCTAAATGTGAGATGATCTTTCGGGGTTCCTGATTCATGAAAGAGTTTGCCAGACATTCTGCAGGACACAGCAGATAGTGACTGAACTGCCTTTGAAATTTCCTGCTTCATGGAAATGCCTGCTGTAAACTATGGGCCTGAAGGCCGAAGATGAATGCCCCAGCAGTACAAAAGAACTTTGGGTGACTGTCCAGGCAGCGAGATGTCTCTGTCACTTCTAGACTTTTGGAAGTTTCTTACTTCTTGTTTACTTAGGTATTATATCCTTCTGGAGTCTTTGATGGAGTTGAAGAACGGTTAGTTATAGTTATAGTTTTCCTTTGTTATGGTAAAAGATAAAATAGATATAAATATTGTATCTGTAATTCTTACTTGATAACTGTTTTGTTATATGTAATTTTGCTATGTTAAAGTTAAAGCCTTCTTTTTTTTTTGTTTAAACAGAAAAAGGGGAAATGATGTGGAAGTGTCATATATCAATCTGTTGATTTCATTGGTTAATTAATAAAGAAACTGCTTGGCCTGATAGGTTAGAACATAGTTGGGTGGAGTAAACAGAACAGAATGCTGGGAAGAGAGGAAGTTAGGCAGACGCCATGCTGCTCCTCTCCAGGGCAGATGTGATGAAGCTCTGACCCAAGATGGACGTAGGCTAGAATCTTCCTGGTAAGTCACCACCTCATGGTACTACACACATTAATAGAAATGGGCCAAGCAGTGTTTAAATGAATACAATTTGTGAGTTGTTATTTTGGGGGCTAAGCTAGCTGTGCGGGAGCTGTGCGGGACGAAAAGCAGGCCCGCCGCTCCTTCTACATCAAAGTGTTTGGTGCCAGAAGATAAAGTGTGGGAGCTGAAAGAATTTGGATACACAGATGTGTAGAGTATAATATGTTCAAGGTGTGGGTGGTTCGGGAGAGATCATGAACCGTGACTTAGATATGAGAAAGCTTACGGAGCATGTAGAACACAGCAAGAAGTTTTGTTTCAGGAAAGCATAGAGAGAGAAAATACTAGCACATATGCCTTGAATGATAGGATGAGCTCAGATTAAAGATGGCTCAATCAAAACATGGGTGAGAAGCAGGGCAGGATGGCGCATGCCTGCAATCCCAGAAATCAAGAATTAGGGGCAAGAGGATCATAAGTTCCAGACCAGTTTAGGCTACAGTTGGGACCTTTCTCTCTCTCTTGGGATTTCCCCCCTTAAAAAGTATGGTTAAAATTAGGGTTTGAGACTTTTATAGTCTAGGCAAGAAACAGAAAGATGGAATAGAATAATGGCTATCTATGACAATGAAAGCAGGGGTACACAGAATTGACAGTCTACTTAGCTAGTAATGTCATCTGCCTGGATGTAAATGCTGAGTGAGGAGGCCGGAAAATGAGCTTTAAAACTTGTGGGGTTTTACTACATTTAATGCTTGATCTGGCAGTTAGATGCCAGTGAGGACAGCCAATGGGCAAGAGCAGGCTGCTGAGCTCAGGACCAGGACAAAGCTTCTCATCTTGTCCCTGCCCATCCTTTTCCTCATGCACACTACACAGCAGTGAAATGCTTCGGATTTGAGCTTACTGACCTTCCTCCTTCAAATTTTTTTTTTATTTTTTAAGGGTAGAATCTCACATTCTTCTTTAAAGTATTTCTAGAAACAAAACACTGCCTGACCACCAAGACAGAAACTAATGCTAAAGTCCCCAAACCTGAGTCAACAGAATATAAGTAGCGTGGAAGGGAAGGACCACAAGAACAGGACCCACTTTACTCAGTTCTACTTCCCGTTTCTCTAACAGCAAACGGCATCCAAATATCTGAGTGAATCAACACGCACGAGCCATGTGCCAGGTGTACTGGTTTTTCAAGAAGTCACATTTTCTCCCCACTTTGACCCAAAGCCCCGATGACCCTTACCTGTTAGGCTTTGAGGTAAGTCTGTAGGTTCTTGGAACTCTGGCTCTTCTATAATTTCCTCCTCACTCATTCTCTCACTACTAGAATCTTCTAACACTGCTTCCTGGGAGGTCTCTTCAGGTTCCCAGATTGTAGGATCCTGGGGTTCAACCTCAATGTGTCCTCTTTCTTGCCTTGAGAGTGGTGGGATTTCTTCTGAGGTGTTGGTGGAAAGGGCAGATGTTCGGCAGTTAACGAGGGCATCCATCTCCTTGTAAAATGCACAGGACTCCAGTACATGGCCATTCTTTACTTTTCGGTAACTCTTTTGAAGGCTTTTGAACTTGGTCCGGCATTGTTCTGGTGTCCGGAGAAAGCCACACTCTCGAAGCTGTTCAGCCACAACTCCATATAATTTGCTCTTCCGGTGACAGGCTTGAAGTGCTTCATAAAACCGAGTCTCACGAAGGATATCAAGAAAAGTTTTAGTTTCTTCATAGCCCCAGTGCACACCTGCCATTCAAGGACAAAGTTTAAAGATATAAAGAGACTGGAGCTTCTCTATTACACACACTATAAATGATAGAAAAGCCCTATTCTGGGAGAAAAACTGTGAAACACCATCTTTTGGACATGATAGTGTACTCACGAACTCACAGCAGGTATGGCTACAGAAACTCTACACAGCCAGCCAAAACTCTAGCATAGGGTTGTGTGTGTGTATGCATGTGTGTGTGTCTGTGTAGCACTTGACAACTTCTGGAGGAAGAACTATTCTTTTTTGAGTGTTCCCACTGGTATGTTACCCATGCTTCATGGGATGGCCCCATACCCACATACGCATGGGGAACACCTACTGGATTTAGTGTGTTCATAAATAAATGATGGGTAGTTAAGAAATACATGAAGTTTGGATGGTGAGTTGGGGGAGGGTTGGAAGGAAATGGAGGTGGATATGATTATATTTCATTGCATACATGTATAAACTTCTCAAGGACAAAGAAAATTATAATTAAAGTCTTACGATAGCAACAGGAAATATGGAATATACAGAAACAAACTTTGTAAAACACAGTAAAGTCTATGTTTAAAAAATCTGTAATTCTTTATTCAAAGATTAACTAGAAAAAGTGAGATGCCGTGTTTCTAGTTACAAAGACTCAAGTTGCACAGATATTGATTTCAAATGAATAGGCAAATCCCAAAAGCAGCAGTTTAATTGGAAGAGGAAGTGGTCTTCCACACTGCCATTGCTATGGAGACTAACTGAAGCACTTAGCCACCTAGAGTGTCTTTTCCATGTAGTTCATTCAGAACACTGGATTATAACCCCAAAAGAACAGCCTGAAATCTCCTACTAATTCTTTTACTAGTTTTCCTTGAGAATTAGAGTCATGTCCAAGTAGTTCTAAGTCTGATAACTCATCTAATCTTCTAATTCGAGACAGAGTATAATCTGTATGGCACAGACAGCAAAATACAACTTTTCTTAGTAGTTTGTTAAACATGCTTTTTGTTTTGGAAAAAGTAGTTGCTAGCCTCAATATTTACTGGATACTTCCAGTTCCATCAATAAACTCCTACACTTGAGACCATACCCAAGAGCCTTATCCTCCTGTTTTCAGATTTGTAAACACCTGTGTAGGCATGACGATCCTTCCATTTGTCAGCAGATCTGCTTATTTTAGGCACACATCCTCATGAACACACTTCTGGCTTTCCTAACCTGATTTAGTTTTCCATTTTATTGATGAACTTATCACCTTTATTACAATGAACTAGGAAAGACATCAGTAATAAGAATGATGCATTTTAGCCTTTTAAGAGTACCTTTACCTGTTATGTCCTGCTGAACACCAGTAACAACCCTGTGAGTTCTTACTCATATATTCCACAGGGGAAAACTGAAACCCAGTATTGTTACATGATGCAGCTACTGTCAAGAGTTATTAACTGGTTGTTTAATTCTGTGTGTTTTGGTCTCCAAATATTCAACAGTAGGTTCGTATGGTGCATCTTTCCTTTTCTTTCTTTGTTTTATTTCTGAACAAGATCTCACAGTGTAGTTCAAGTTGGTCTCAAACTCACAATCCTGCCAGGTCCTGAGTGCTGGGATTATAGGTTAGCAGCAGCAGGCCTAATCTTCTTTTACTTTAATACCTGTCTTCTATAGACGGTTCATCTCCTATGATGAGGGGTGTGTGGTTTTTTTTTTTTTGGTAATGTGTTAATCTTGGTTCAGTGAATTTGTAATTAGTGATATATTTACATTTATTTCTATCAGAATGAGAATAGCTCCCATAGACTCCCACAGAGAATTCCTGGATCCCAGTTGATGGAACTAAGCCAGATTAGTCTCGGAACAGGGTACTGATGTGATAGGTCTGACCGTGTAGTTTTTTGAAGAAATGTGGAAAACTTTGGACTAGGGAAGTGGCTGAATGCTATAAGTGAGGTTTAATGGGCTATCCTAGAAAGAACATGGAAGACAGTGGTGTGTTGACAGCTATGTATACCATGGAGGCTTGTATACTCAGGAGGTTTTAGAGGGGAACAATTATTAGCTAGAGACCATTGAGCTAGAAACCATCATTATATTTTTGCAAAGAATGTGGCTGCTTTTTGCCCTTGTCTTAAGAATCTGTGTAAGGCTAACTGAAAAGTTTTGGAGTATGTATTGGCAGAGATTTTGGGGTAGCCTAATACTTACTGTATCATGTGATTACTAGTAATCACTTTTATGTGGGTCTATGATGAAAAGGAGCAAGCAGAGCAAAAAAGAAATACAAACTGTACAATCTGAGGAGAAGAAAAGCAACAGGAAATTTAATGCTGGAGCCAAGTCTTGCGTTCTAAGACATGAGAACTTTAAAGACAGGCCTGATGTGAAATGGAATAAAGAATAGTGTCCTCAGGACAACACCCCATTCAGCTAAGCTTCCAGCCTTAGCTGGAAATGCCAAGGATTTTTCTGCTTCTGAAACAAAGGAAAGCTTATGAACAAATGAAAGCAATAAATCAAAACTTATGCAAATGTAATTTAAGGAGGTCCAGATTCCACCCCAAACTTGCAGTAGTATTTGGCAACTTCAGCCACAGGATTCTATCTTTTGAGTCATGAAAGATATAGTAGTAAAGGAGCTGTGAATCTTCCTCCCCAGTTAAGGAAAGCCATTAGGGACAGACATATGGCAGGGGAGTCCTTGTATGTAGGTGCAGAAAAGTCACTTTGTGAAGCTGTGAAAGTGAAGACTGGATTGTGTTAGAGACCCCAGGATGTTGGAGGTACCAAAGTCATGAGATGTCTGCCAGGGAGAGCTGCATATAGGGAATGATACCAGCTCAAAAAAAGAGAAGTGTTTCCAGTTAGCAAAGCTGGAAGGGAAAAGTCATCAAAGGCTTTTAGCATTGGACACAGAACTACAAGACTAGGGGTTTGCCCTGCTGGGTTTTGGTCTTGCGTTGGTCCAGTATTTCCTCACTATGCTCCCATTCCTCCTTTAAGAATGGTAATATATATATTCTGTGGTATTCTATGTTGGAAGTATGTAACATGCTTTTTTTTTTTTTGCAGTTGGTTCCAATTAAGAGACTGCCTTGACTCTCAGAAGAGACTCTGGACTTTTAAATACTTTTGAGACTGAAAGATTATGGGGACTAAATGCATTTTATTATATGGCAACAAGCCTATGGGGGCCAGGAAGTAGGATATGGCAGTTTGAATAAGAATGTCCCCATGGTTAGTGGAACTGTTTGGGAAGGGTTAGGAGGTATAGCTTTGTTGGGGGAAAGCTTTGAGATTCCAGAAGTTCACACCTTTCCCGTTTAGAGTTCTCTCTCTGTCTCTGTCTCTCCCTCCTTTTCTACTTGCTGATAAAAATGTAAGCTCACAGCTACTACTCCAGCACCAAGACTGCTTGCCTGCTGCCATGTTCCCTGCCATGCTGGTCATGGACTCTAATCCTCTGGAACTGTGAGCCCCAACAAACTCTTTAGATTAACAGAAAAGTAACCAAGACATATGCTTCTGTATTTATTTATTTAGAGAAGGGGCTTTGCTATATGGTTCAGGCTGGCTTCAAACTCTTGCTGTTTCTGTTTCCCATGTTCTGGGGTTATAGCTGGTGTACCACCAGGCCTGGCTCTTCCTATTACTTTTATGTGACTCATTGTTTTGTGTTCTGTTTACTCTTCTTTCTTGCCTTTTAAATTGGACAGAATAAAGTTTGTATTTCATTTCCTCTTCTCCTTTACACTGTTTGTAACTAGCCATACTGTGTGGACTAATAAGATATCCTTCATCTATTACAAACTAACACAACTGGTTATACTAATCCTCAAATAATATTAGACACTTGAACTCTTTAGCTCCACTTACCTTCCTTCCACAGGAAGGTATAATAAATATGATTTATGATATCCCTTCCATAGGAAGGTATATAATAAATATGATTTATGATATGTGTATATATGAAAGTCTGCATCTGTGTGTCTGGTGCCCAGAGGCCAGAAGAGGGTGTTGGATTCACTGGAACTGGAGCTACAAATGGTTATGAGCTACCATGTGAATGCTGGAAACTGGACGTGGATCCTCTGTAAGAGAAGCCTGTGCTCTTAGCCACTGAGTCATCTCTATACCCTGACCACCGAATATTTAAATGCATGCTTAGCTCTAACTTGAATAAGAGCTTGCAGGCTTCTCAGAGTTGTTACTCAGGCTGTGGTAGGGACAGCAACAAACACCTAAGTGCCCTTTTAGTTGTGGGGCAATATCATAGTGAAAGCAGCATCGAGTGCGATAACCCTCCCCAGGATTAGTCTAATCTACTACTTTCTCCACAGGAAACACTTCTATCTTCACACCAAAAAAAAAAAAAAAAAAAAAAAAAAAAAAAACAGCATAATTCTTACCACTTAGGTTTTGAAACAAGACAGGGGCAGAACGAATTTCAGACTTGCGTATAAACTCAATGCCCACTTCATCACCATCAGAGTCTTCAGCACCTTCTTCCTCCTCCTCCACCAAACTGACCTGTTCTTTAGCACCAATGCCAATGCTCTTTAGTCTGGGGAGAGAGATCACGGCCTTTGTCTTATCAGTAGATGAAGTATGGGCTGTAGGGTTTAACAAGGCATCCATGTCCTCAAAGAAGGCACAGGGTTCTAGCATGTGGCCATTTCTCACTTTTCGATAACTTTTCTGAAGACTTTTGAACTTGGTCCGGCACTGCTCTGGTGTTCGAAGGAAGCCACATTCTCGCAACCATTCAGCCACAGCACCATATACCTGGCTATTTCGGGGACAAGCCTGGAGTGTTTCATAAAAGCGAGATTCCTTGAGAATTGCAAGAAAAGTCTTGGTTTCCTCATAGCTCCAGTGTACACCTGCAATTTTTTCATCTTCTAAACCCCATTGTTGCTGTTCTCGCCACACTTTCCCTGAATTCCTTGCCGGGACTTGAACCGCATGCACTGATTTCTCTTTGATGTAGTTGCTTGTCAGAACATTATTCTTCTTATTTGAGGAATGTAGACCTACAGTCCATGGTTCCTTTCTCTGTTCCAACTGGGCTATCTTGTTAGATGTAGACACAGTGCCTCCTACAGTAAGAGAAACATGTTTCACAGTAGGCACAGATGTCATTATTACACACCCCAATCTCCTGTTGAAACATCTCCTGGACTCTTTGTTTACAGCTCAGCATTCCTCAGCCAGGACCATGCACACTGTAGTTATTTACATGATGTCTTTAAGCACAGAAATTTAGAAATGCTATCTTACTATCATGTATATACTGCTTTTATCTAGTTAATTCTTTCAGGAATACTCTCAACAGTAAGACATATTTCTCTAGTTTTGACTCTTTCTTTTGGATGACACTATATCACACTGTAGATTAGGCTAGCCTGAAACTCACTGATGGCTTCAAATTCATAACAATCCTTCTGCCTCAGTCTCCCGAGTGCTAGGGTGTAGTCCCAGAGTCACCACAGCTAACTTAGTATTTGTTCATTTTACTTATATATGTGCCCCAACACACACACACACACACACACACACACACACACACGCACGCACACACCCATGCATGCATGCACACAATACACAACTGGGGCTATTAGTGAAGTAAAGAATCTGTATTAAGCTATATTAATCACAAAGTCTGGTATTGCCATAAAACAAAGAAAGTAAACTTGAATAGACAGCCCTGAAATAAATCCATCCACATATGGTCAACTAATCTTTGATAAGGGAAGAGGAAAGTATGTTCAATGAATGGTGCTAAGAAAACGGAGTATCTACATGTACAAGAGTGAAACTGGACTACCATCTTATACTACTTGCAAGAGTTAACTTGAAATGTATTAAATGCTTGTGGGGCTGGAGAGGATGCTCAGTTGGTAAAGTGTTTGCTATATAATCATAAGGACCTGAGTCTGATCCCCAGCATCCATGAAAAAGGCAGGCTTGTTGATATGTGCTTGCAATCCCAGCAGAAGGATCTCCAGGATATAAGCTCTCAGCTACTGCTCCAGCACGATGAACACCAACCCAGAGGGTTAGAGTCCATGACCATCATTGCAAGGAACATGGCAACAGGCAAGTGAGAGACCATGCCTCAAAAAGTATGGAGGAAGACAACAGAAGAAGATACCAGACATTGGCCACTGGCCTTTATATGTACACAAATACCCTGTACTCCCCCACATGCATGTATATACATGAGACCTAAACATAGGACCTGCAACCATAAAAGTCCTAGAAGAAAGAAAGCATAGGGAAAAAGGTAATTGACCCTAGTCTTGGAAATTTTTTTTTTTTGCTGTAACAATGAAAGAGGCAATAAAAGCTTTAGCATAGCAAGAAAAATAACCAACAAAGTAAAGAAACAGCCTGCAGTCTAGGGAATATACTTATAACCATATATGTTGTAAAAGGTTGAAATTTAAAATGTACAAGGAACCATATAATTCATAGAAAAACAGCTAATAAAAACGGGCAAAGAATCTGATGTGCAAATGACCAACAAGTGCATGAGAAGGCACTCAACATCATTAATTAACAGAAAAGAGCAAATCAAAATCATAATGAGTATGACTTCACATCTGTTAGAATAGTTAGCATCAAGAAGATAAGATAGTAAGTGCTGGCAAGGATGTATAGAAAATGAACCCTATGTACTGTTGGTGGGAATGTATATTCATCCAGCCATTGTGGAAAACAGTATGGATGGAACTTGAAAAATGAACTTGAAAAATTACTTGGGACTACTGTCATGCACCCCAGCTCTCTCACTTCTGTATATATTTGTAAAGGAAGCCAAATTACAGCTGAGGCACCAGCACTCTGGAATTCACTGGAACATAATTTACAAACATAAGGAAAATTATGGCATAAACAAAAAATTTTTATCAATGGATGAATAAAGAATATTTGAAAATGGCTCAGTGGTTAAGAGCATTGGCTACTCTTCCAGAGGACCTGCATTTGATTCTTAGCACCTATAAGGTAGCTCACAACTGCCTATAATTACAGTTCCAGGGTATCTGATGCTCTCTTCTATCTTCCCTGAGTGAGCACTAGACACACAGGTGATGCATAGGCATACATGAAGGCAAAATACTCATACACACAAAATAAAAGTAATAATAAAGGATATGTGAAAATCTATAAAATGGAAAAAAGAAAAGAGAACTATAGAAAGAATGAGTTCTATATCTAAAATTTTTAGATATCCTGGACTCAGCGTGTATGACATCATGTGAAATAAGCCAGATAGTGAAAGACAATTATCATACTATCTGAGCTTTAAGTAGAATCTTAAAAAAAACTCAATATATATAGGAATACAACAGTGGTTTCTACTGGTTTCTGCACAGTTTGGGGTAGGTAATACAGGCACATATAAAGAACGAATTGTAGCTATATACAGGATACATTCTGGGATCTAGTGATGCCCATAGCTTACAATAGTGTACTTCAGATTTGTCACTAGCTGAGAGTAGATTTTAAGTATCCTTCCTGTTAACTATGTGAGGTATGGTGTGTTAATTGAGGTCATCACTGCATAATGTATATAAAATAATAAAATTTCACATCTTAATTTTACAAAGTTTTATTTGCCAATTATACAATAAATGTTTGGAAAAATTTGGCAGAAGAAACAAATATTCAAACAAAAACTTTGGTGTAGATATATCAAATAAACAATGAAACCATTTTGCTTAAAGAGATTAAGAGGAGGGAAGATAAACCTTATAATTTAGCTTCAGGGTCTGAGTCATATCAAACGCCTTTCTCTATACCAAAGAAACTACAATCTACTTTCTTTTTCTTGAAGTGGAAAAATAATCAATGAATTCACCCCCCCCCCCGAAAAGCCCTGACTGTCCTGGAGTTTGTTCTGTAGACCAGGCTGACATCGAACTCACAGAGATCCACCTGCCTCTGCCTCTCAAGTGCTATGATTAAAGGTGTGTGCCACCATCACATGACTGAGAGTTCACTTTTAATTGGTACAGATATAGGTTTAGTGAGCACTGAAAATAAATAAATAATTTCATTAACTAAAAAACTCTGTTGATGGAAAGAGGGCCTGCTTTTTGTCCTGGTTGCCTGGCTAGCTTACACCGCAATAATCACACAGAAATTATATTAATTAAATTACTGCCTGGCCCATTATCTTTAGCCTCTTATTGGCTAACTCTCACATCTTGATTTAACCCATTTCTATTAATCTGTGTGTCACCACGAGGTCATGGCTTACCGGGGAAGATTCAGCCTGTCTGACCTGGCAGCTCCATGGCAGCTCTCTGACTCTGCTTTCTTCCTCCCAGAATTCAGTTCTGTCTTCTCTGCCTACCTAAGTTCTGCTCTATCAGGCCAAGCAGTTTCTTTATTGATTTACCAATGAAAGCAACACACAAACAGAAGGACCTCCTACACCAAAACTCCAAACAAGCCCATCCCATCAATGTAATAAAAACAGTAAGAACATGAAACAAACTGTACCTGCTGCTCTAAGTCCTGAGAAGAGCAAGTGTCTCCAATGGAATCTCAGTCACACTGCTGACTCACTGCTTGTTTCACTTTTTGGTGGGGGGAAAGTTTCCTTTCATTTTTTTTTTCGAGACAGGATTTGTATAGCCCTGGCTGTCCCAGAACTAGCTCTGTAGACCAGGCTGGCCTCCAACTCACAGAGATCTGCTTGCGTCTGCCTTCTGAGTATTGGGATTAAAGGTGTGCACCACCACCACCAGGCTGGAGGGCAAGTTTTTTTAACCTCACTGTATCCTGAGGAATAACACCATCTGTTCAAAGACTAGTGCACAGTTTTCCACACAGTATCCAGTATGTATGCAATGGACTTTAGCTTTCTTCTTCACATAGCACACACAGAAAGTTTGCAGGATTTTCCTAGAGAAGCCCATCAAATCACACCCTTTCTGAGAAGCACTGGGGATGGAGACTTGTTCTTTACTTCTTATGTGAGAGAAGTAGAAGAGGAGGCACATGGGCTCAAGCACTCCGAAGTTCTAGGAAGGCGAGGCAGTGAATGGGCGGCTAGAGCAGGACCATGGCAGTTGAGCCTTTGGCATGGTTCTGGTCAAGTACCGCCATGTAGGAGGTGGGCGGGCTGTTTCTAAAGCCTCATTTCTAAGAAAAAATGTAAATTTTTCTACACTAACTTTAACTAAAATATCATGCAGACCAAAATATCTACAGACCATATTTAGTACATAACGAATTAATCTACAATCTACAACAAAAGATTGGGGCAGGTGTCTCTGGGCCTGGGTTGTTTCATATGAAATTGTATAATAAAGGAGATAGGCTGAACTGGAATTCTCAAAGTATAGTCCCTCTTCACTAATGGCATATTTTATGAGTGACTCAAAGCAGACAATAGGGTGCCTGATAATTTTTGAGGACCACCTTGTTAATTTTGTGATACATATCATTTTTTTAGAAAGGGTTTCTCTGTGTAGCCCTGGCTGTCCTGGAACTCTCTTTAGACCAGGATGGCCCCGAACTCACAGAGATCTGCCTGCCTCTGCCTCCTGAGTGCTGGGGTTAAAGGTCTGTTCCATCACTGCCTGGCAATGCTGTGATATTTTATACTAGTAATTTTTTAAAAATTTGTTTTTTTAACAAAAGATAATTATTGATTTGCCTTTATCCATTTATTTATCCATTGTTTATTTTATAATCTCAGTACTTATATTTTTTATTATTTTATGACTCAATTAATTAATGTATGTGTGTATGTGAGTGTCTGTGAACCACAGTATGGATATGGAAGTTAGAGGACACTTTCTGGAAGTTGGTTCTCTTTTTCTACCATGTGGGCTTTGGGATGGAACTCCCATTGCTTATCTTAGCAACAAATACCTTTACTCACTGAGTTATCTCATTGGTCCTAATTTCTGAACTTCAACGATTATATTTAGTATTGTCTAGTAGAACTTTCTGTGATGATGAGTGTAATATTAATTGTGCCATCCTATATTGCAACTGAATATCTTAAATATGACTACAAAGGAATTTAGTTGCACCGAATTTTAATTAATGCAATAAACTTAACACTTGTTTAAATTTTTTTAAAAGACTCATTTTTTAAATCTTATGTGTGTGTGCACATGCTATGTATGCATACCATATATGTGTAGTGCCTTCTTAGAACTGGAGTTACATATGGCTGTGAGCTACCATGTAGGTGCTAGGTAACAAACACATCTGAAGAGCAGCAAGTGCTTTTAACTGGTAGGCCATCTCTCCAGCCACAAACTGAAAATTGAAACGTATGTATGGCTAGCGTTACTCACCAGGTGGTACAGAATTATAGTGTTTATAATGTATGCTCTATATACATTGGTTATAAAATTGGTATCAGTACACATCTGCATGAACAACCTGTGTGTATGTGTGTGTGTGTGTGTCTGAGCATAACCCCAGGTGTTGTTCTTCAGGTACAGTCCAACCCTGTATATGTATGCGCAGGAGCACTTGTGTGTATATATGTGTAGAGGTCAGAGGCAAACCTCAGGTGGCATTCCTTAAGTACTGTCATTTTCTTTTCTTTTTTTTTGAGACAGGGTCTCACTGTGCAGCTCTGGCTGGCCTGTAACTTAACTCAGAGATCTGGCTGCTTTTGCCTCTGAGAGCTGGGTTTTAGAAACTATGCCATTTCTATCAGGTTTCTAGCCATAAATAAAGGACATTGAGCCTATAATTCATGTTCCTAGAGAAGCTAAATAAGGTGAATCCAAAGACAAACACATAGGCATCCTCAGGAATATTAACCTTCATCAGGCGATGAAAGGAGACAGAGACAGAGACCCACACGGGAGCACCGGACAGAAATCTCAAGGTCCAAATCAGGAGCAGAAGGAGACGGAGCACGAGCAAGGAACTCAGGACCACGAGGGGTGCACCCACACACTAAGACAATGGGGATGTTCTATTGGGATCTCACCAAGGCCAGCTGGCCTAGGTCTGAAAAAGCATGGGATAAATCCAGACTAGCTGAACATAGCGGACAATGAGGAATACTGAGAACTCAAGAACAATTGCAGTGGGTTTTTGATCCTACTGCACGTACTGGCTTTGTGGGAGCCTAGGCAGTTTGAATGCTCACCTTAGGAGACCTGGATAGAGGTGGGCAGTCCTTGGGCTTCCCACAGGTCAGGGAACCCTGATTGCTCTTCGAGCAGATGAGGGGGGGGGGGACTTGATCGGGGGAGGGGGAGGGAAATGGGAAGCGGTTGTGGGGACGAGGCAGAAATTCTTAATAAATAAATAAATTAAAATAAAAAAAAAAAAAAAAAAAAAAGAAACTATGCCATTTCACCTGGCTTTCTATTTTATATTTTTAGAGAAGTTCTCTCACTGACTTGTAACTAACCTAGTAGGCTAGGTTAGCTTGCCAACAAATCCTAGGAATCCACTTGTGTCTGCCTCACTTCCAGGACCAGGATTATATGAATGTACTACTACATTTAGTTCTCTCTCTCTCCCTCTCTCTCTCACAAGGGTACTGAGGATTGAATTCAGGTTCTTAAGCAAGCACTTTACCAACTGAGCAATCCCCCTAGCTTGTTCACCTTTTTCATATTTTAGGGGATCAAGTATACCACTGTCGGGCTGGGTAGGCTACACTGACTGGTTAGTGAGCTCTTGGGATCTGCTTGTCTCTGCCTCCCCATCATGGGTTTACAAGTACATTCTACCACCGCTCACTTTTTCAAATGTGGACTTTAAGGGCCAAATTTGTGTCTTCATGCTTCCAAGCACTTTCCTGACTGAGATGCCCCCCCCCATTCTGGTTGTGATATTACTCATTAGTCTTTGCCATTTGAATTAAAACTCACACATGAACGAATACTATTTCTCTCTCCTGTGAAGTAGATGGAGACAGTCCTCTGAAAACTTGCCTGGAGAGTGACACTACAGTGGTCATGTAAGCCTTCACACTTGTCTACTTAAATAATTCACCAAGGTTACTAGATTTAAATCACTTTTTATTCAATATTTAAGATTTCGATCCACCCGTTAGGCAGCTCTACATTAGCTGTCGAGGTCATTATTGTTAAATAAAAACAAACTGTAGTAATACCTGGTGACTTCACAGACCTTTAGGCTGATGAATGTAAGTTTGTATTTCCTGTACTATAAATATGGTATTCATATACAACTCCTGTTAAGTGTTGTAACTACTATTATAATGTTCTTTTTGGAAAGAATACATGAATAAGGAAAGGGAAGAGATAAGTAACTACAGCAGACAATCCGTGGAGATTCTTTAAGCCAGTGTTTTTCAACTTTCCTAGTGTTGTGACCCTTTAATATAGTTTCTCATGTTGTGGTGACCCCCAACCATAAAATTATTTTTGTTGCTATTTTGTAACTGTAATTTTTCTACTGTTATGAGTCATAGTGCAAATACCTAGAGACAAAAGTTTGCCAAAGGGGCCATGACCCACAGGTTGAGACCTACTGCTTTAAGTACTAACATTTACAACTATTTATCACCAGTAGGAATTAAAATATAAGAATGCTTACCCAGGGAAACCATGCTCCCTGCACTTTCCTTCCTGATTTCGTGGTGGAGATCCCTGTGAGTGGGACTCTGATGTACACTCTTTCTGTAGGACAAGCTTCTCATTGTGTGGACATCTTTCACTGGTTCCTGTAACAACACTAACACCAGTGACTACCAAGACAACTGCAAAGGCTTTAAATTAGGAACAGCCACGGATGAAGCAGAGGAGGGCCCTAAAGAACTGAGTAGAGGAAACGTGTGTCATGTGTCGAGGTAAGTGGAAGATATGGTAAATAATGAGGATGCGATAATGTAAGAGAGCTGGTCCAGCAGAGTTCATTACTGAGAAGACTGAGTCTAACCTCTTCTGGAAAAGAAATGAAGGGAGAAATCTCTTTGGAAGAAGTGTAAACAATGCAGGCTAGTAAAAGCATGGGAAATAACTGTGACTGAATTCCCTAGAAGGAAGGCCAGGGAGGAGGACAATTACAATTAACCTGGGAGTAAATTACCTGGGTTGTCACCTCCTGATCTACAGTGTTCCATTCATCACTAGGGACAGGAACCCAGAGAGAAGAGTGAGCTAGAAAAAGAGAAGAAACAATTATGGTATACAGTAGTCTGAATTGTGGTGCTTTAATTCATGCTGCTTCTCCTTTTAATAAACGAGAGCACAGCTGGGCAGTGGTGGCACACACCTTTAATTCCAGCACTTGGGAGGCAGAGGCAGGTGGATCTCCATGAGTTTGAGACCAGCCTGGTTTACAAAATGAGTTCCAGGACAGTCTGTTACACAAAAAAACACTAACAGAGAAACACTGTCTCCAAACAAAAAAAGAAAGGAAGGAAGGAAGGAAGGAAGAAAAGAAAAGAAAGAAAGAAAGAAAGGAGAGCATATCAAAATCTACAATAGGAATGGATGATTTTTTCAATGAGTTTAGAGCAATGCCCAAATCTACCTTATCCTAATGCTGGGCTCACAGCTTCAATGCTTCTGGAGCAAGCAGGTAATACAGTGCACGAGGAGAAGGCTGGGACTGGGGAACTGGAGAGAACATGCTCCACTGAAGAGCACAGCCTATGCTTGGCTCTTGATGGTGCTTCAGCATGAGACTGTGACATTTGAAGACTCAGCATTTCTGATGTTTCCAATAGAAGCCAGATGTGCTGGCTCATTTTTATCTAAACCTGACAAGCTAGAGTCATTTGGGAAGAGGGAACCTGCATATTGAGAAAATGCTGTCTGCCCCCACTGGCCTGTGACAAGCCCATGGGGTGTTTTCTTGATTGATTACTGATCTGGAGGGTTCAGCCCATTGTGGATAGTGTTACCCCTGGGCAGGTGGGTATAGATGGTATAAGAAAGTAGGCTGAGCAAGCCTGTAAGCAGCACCCTCCATAGCCTTTGCATCAGCTCCTGCCTCCAGGTTTCTGTCCTGTTTGAGTTCCTGTCCTGACTTCCTTTGATGTGGAAGTGGAAGTGAAATAAAGCCTTTCCTCCCTGAGTTGCTTCTGTCATGGTGTTTTATCACAGTAACAGAAACCCTAAATAGGACACCAGAAACCTGGGACTTTTGTGAGATATCACATTTTTAGAACAAAGAGCAAAAACAAAAACTCCAAATCCTAAACAAAAATTCTTTGTAGGTAAAATATACAAGTCCTATTTGATGTACAAGTTACCGGTTTGTCATTCCTAGCATAAACTAATAGTTTAAGAATTGAGAATTTAGTTCTCAGCTAAGTCCTGCCAACACAGCAAACTGTACAGCAATGGGTATAACGAGCTCTTAAATAACTTCTCAGTGCAGGAGAAAAGAGAACTTTTTATACAGCAATCTCAATGGTCTATCTCCTTCTTTGAGCTCACCTTCAAGAGTAATTTACATGTGAGCAGAGCTCAGAAGCTTGCTACGCCTTTCTATAGAAGTAAAAAAATCACTTAAAATTATGTGTATTTGTGTGTGTGTGTGTGTTTCTGTCTGTCTGTCTGTCTGCATGTGGGTGCCATGGTCTGTATGTGGAGGTTGGGGAAAAAAACTTTCAGGAATTGGTTCTCTCTTTCCACCATAGGGATTGAATTCAGGTCATCAGGCTTGGCAGGAAGTGTTTTTATCCGCCAAGTCATCTTACCAGTCCCCAAATAATTTTCTTGGAAACATCATGGTCTTTGAAAAGTTTATGGCTGAAATCGCATTCCTTCATAGTTAATTATCTTTCTGAGATATCCAGCCCTCAAATTTCTGTCCTCCTTCCTCAGTCTTCAACAGACTTTTTTTTTTTTATCCTTTTGAAATTATCACTATGGATGGCCATGTCCAGAAACATTATGAATAGGTATTTGTTATCACACCAAGTTTCTCACTTAAAGTTACTGGAGCCACCTAACTCACATGATAAAGGGAGCTCTGATACAAAGAAATACGGAGTAATTCAGAGTCCACTAATATTTGCAGCACATTCTTTTATATAGGATTGGCTACAGCAGAGAGCCACTGTGAATCTTTTCTTTCAGTGAAAGCTGTTTTGACTCATAGCTGAAGTTTAAAAATATTTTTTTCCATTATGGGAGAAAATAAATTAGCATTTATTGAACATTATTATGCATGCACTGGCTATTTTTCATGGCCCATTAACAACCTTGCTATTTTTCTTTTACAGATGAGAGGATAGAAAGTTTGAAAAAGAACCTAAGTCCACAAAAACAAAACATAGGAGAGCTGGGTTATGAACTCAGGTCTGCTTGCCTCTTTCAGCCCAAGATCACAGTGTGGGGAGAAACAAGAAATAAATGAAGTCTTTAGACAGGCTCTTTCCAGATCTCTCTGCTAGCCTATGAAGTGAAGTGAAGTGAAGACACATTTTGGGAGATGGAAAGGTAACTGGGCTGGGGAGACAGCTCTCTCCCTTCTATCTGACTTCTTGTATCCATATGGACACCAGTTAGGTGTGGTATCCCTTGTTTAGGAAATCTTACCATTTCTCCCTCTCATGCAGCATTCTGAGATGCTTTATCTTGTGAGTGAAGTTTTGGAATAAAATATCTTGTTTCCATTTCTCAACAGTTTTTCAAGTTGCTTGTGGTCAGCTGAGAGCACATACACACGTGGCATGACTAAAGTGAATTGAGCGGAGGATTTTAAAACAACTGACCAGACTCAAAGCTGCCCTGGGCAATCTAAGTTTCCCTAATTTCCACCTTTATGATCCTAATTTACTTTGGTAAGCACATATTCCTGACTCATTTATTTATTTATTTATTTATTTATTTATTTATTTATTAAAGATTTCTGTCTCTTCCCCGCCACCGCCTCCCATTTCCCTCCCCCTCCCGCAATCAAGTTCCCCTCCCTCGTCAGCCCAAAGAGCAATCAGGGTTCCCTGCCCTGTGGGAAGTCCAAGGATCCCCCACCTCCTTCCAGGTCTAGTAAGGTGAGCATCCAAACTGCCTAGGCTTCCACAAAGCCAGTACGTGCAGTAGGATCAATTGAGACAGGGTTTCTCAGTAGCTTTTGGTTCCTGTCCTGGAACTAGCTCTTGTAGACCAGGCTGGCCTCGAACTCACAGAGATCCGCCTGCCTCTGCCTCCCAAGTGCTGGGATTAAAGGAGTGCAACACCACCACCTGGCTTCCTGACTCTTTAAACAGATGAAAAATTTCTTTACAAGTATTCAATTTATTTTTCAAATGGATATCAAAGGTACTTATACTGAGCAAGCCATAGTCTTTGGGATACTATGTAGGGATACACGGTCTCTGATCTGGGTGTACTCTGAATTCTTCTTACCATTTTTGGGTAAAGGCCTATACTCTCTTTGTTGGCTCAGCTGTTCCTGGTATCCTGAGTGGAGGCTTCCAGCTTCTTCCTGAGGAACAACCCTGTGCTGGGTCTCCAGTTGCTCTGGCTCAAAGTCAGCTACTTCCCACACAGTTCCAGGTGGGGCTTGCTTCTCTGAGGGTAGGGGGCCACTGACCTGCAAAGTAAAGTCAACGTCATAATGGACGCAGAGGAAAAGACCTGCAAACCAGGGCATTAAAGGACAGTAGAACTGAGAAGGAATGATGTCTCTGCGGACTGAAATGGACTCATAGGAGTTCAGGAACAGGAGAGCACTTTTTAATTGCATTTATTTTTGTGCACGTGGGGTGGGGTGGGGTGGTGGTCATTACTACAAAGACCCTGTATCTATCAAGTGCACACAAACTAATCTGAACACTAGTTAACTGAAAACTTATAAAACGAACTCCTAAACACATCCCGTGCAAGGTGAAACCACAAACCTGGCAAACACTGCAGGATTTCATGAGTTGACAAAAGGGAGTTGAATATGACTATACCAGCATGCAAGGATGCTGAAAAATGACGGTCTGGCAGTTAAACTGGATGAATGCCAAGGACCATGGCACTAAGTGCACTTCACAAGACAATGGCTGGAAGAGTAAAGGATTAAAAAAGATTCTCAGGTACCCATGACATCTCCCCCTCCCACCAAACACAAACCCTGTGATGCATTAACTATTTAATACTGTCTAGATAGTTTTGGTGGAAAGATTTTCCCATCCCCTTCATTCAAAATCCTCTCTCACCTTCTTTCTCAGTCTTCTGGTCTCTTTCTCCAAATGCGCTACCAGGGCCACGGCCTCCTCTCCACTTTCTGGGCACTGCTTCTGTGCCCAAGCCTGAATCTTCTCCGGGAGAATGGTGAGAAACTGTTCAATTACCAGCTGCTCGAGGATCTGCTCCTTGGACCGCATTTCTGGCTTCAACCACCGGCAGCAGAGTTCCCAGAGTTTACTGAAAGCTTCGTGGGGTCCCGTCACGTCCTCGTAGGAGAACTGCCGGAAGCATTTACGAAAGGACTCACATTCGGTGCTGCCCGATCTCGCCAGAATGGGCTCTGATGCCCACGCCGAGTCCTTTTCCACTTGCATTATGATGCACTCCTCAACTTCCACGTCGACCTGAGAGTCCAGGACTGTAGCCATGATCCAACCAGGACCAACAGGTCTAGCTCCAAGGAAGGGCCCAGAGAAGCTGCCGAGTGTCCCCCTACTTAAATGCCCTTGGAAATACAGTTCGGGAGGGAGATAAAAGATAGCGCGTCAGCCGGAACAAGGAACTCCAGGGCTGATTAATCAAATTTTTATTAGAATCTTGAAAAGGTGAATGTGCACCCACCCCAAAAGTCTGCAAACCCGCCCTCTTCTCCAATCAAGAGGTGCCCCCTCCCGTGAGGTTCGTTCTCTAGGGGCCAAGGTCGGGACGAGAACCGGACGCTGGGCTGGGAGGGAACACAGGGACTGAGGACTGGCTGGGCTGAGGCGGCGAGCGGGAGGGGGTGTGTCCGCGAGGCACCGGGAGGCGCGGCCGGCCCAGGGCTCTTGGTTCGGGTCCAGGCCGCCGCAGGTGTTCAGCCGGGGCAGGAGTGTCCGAGGCCGGGACAGGGCTCTTGGCGGATCCCAGCAGCGCCCGCGGCACTCCGGACTCCTCCACACGAGGCTGCCGAGGGCCTCGGCCAGGGTTGGGGGTGGGGAGGAGAAGCAGCGGGACGAGGCGAGGCCTCGCGGGGCGAAGAGCTGGCGCGCAGCCTCGTCAGCTCGCCCAGCGGGGAGCGCGGGGGGCGCTGGGAGGCGCGGGGCCACGCATGCGCCGCTCGCGACGGGGGGGGGGGGCGGGGGTCCGCGTGAGGCTTCCTGCGAGGGGGAGGCTGCGTGGAGGAGTCTCGCGAGAGCGCGCGGCACCGTGACTGGCCACCGAGAGACTTTAGGGGTGAGGGTGCGAGGGATGAGCTCGGGGCGGAGGGACACGTTGAGGTCGGAACCCGTTTCTCCAGAGGCCGTGCAGCACGGCGCGAAGCGGCAGTGAGCGTCCTGCCACAGGCCCTGGAGACGGCCCTGTGGAGTGGTTTCCTTAGTGAAAGGGGATGCGAGTGTGTGTGTGTGTGTGTGTGTGTGTGGGCGTGGGGAGTGGACTCCTTTGTTTGGCGGAAGGATTACAGCCAGGGTTTGGCCATACATATTTAGAGTGCTTGCTGTCTGGGATCGTTAGAGCCATCAGTCCTTCTGAGGAAGAATATGTGCTAGACTCTGTTCAAATGTATGGTCTAGAGAAGTCTCATTTTTCTTTTTGGGAATCTCTTAATTGTGCAAGGCTCTGGGTCTGAGTGGGCAAGCATGGTTAAGTGGGCTACCTGGTACCTAATAAACCAGACCTGGATTTCTCTGCTGCTGCGAAACTCCATAGCTAGATGTCCCAGAACCCGCCAGTTCATGAATACGTATCCAGTATTTATGGAGTGCCTGCCTATATGTGACAGTGCTTTAGGCTCTTGACATTCATTAGTGGGCAACGCAAATCTTATTCTCAGAGTTGGCAGCTTATTAGAAAACAGGTCAATGACTTATTAATCAGGGTTTTTTCCCCACAATTTGACCAATTCTGACATTCCAAAGGCATAAAACATCATATGTATACAAGGCATAACTTGAAGGAAGGCCAGCCATAGTCCGTGGGTGCACCTAGTGTCTGCCAGCGGATAGATCAGAGCCAGCACACAGCTTGTCTTAACTGCATTTAAAAAATAGTATACATTGTGTACTAGCTTCTGTAGTAATAGGAGCGGTGGGGCTGCGTCCCCAGCAACCCGGCCGCCTGGCTAGCTTATACCCCGAAATAATTACACGGACACTGTATTCTTTTAAACACTGCTTGGCCCAGTATATCTAGCTTCTTCTCGGCTAACTCTCGCACCTGGACTAGCCCGTTTCCAATCATGTGTGTAGCACCCCAAGGTGCGCTTACTGGGAAGATTCTAGCCTACGTCCATCCTGGGTTGGAGCTGAACCGCGTCTGCCCGGGAGAGGGGAGCATGGCGTCTCTGCTCCAGAGAGCAGAGGTGTCGAGTCTGAGCTCACTTCCTCTTCCTCCCAGCATTCTGTTCTTTTTACTCCACCCACCTATGTTTTAACCTATGAGAGCCAAGCAGTTTCTTTATTATAATTAACCAATGACCTTCCTCCATCAGGCTTCCTAGCAGACATGGTGAAGGGGGTGAAAATAATCAGGATCCTCTTACCATTTTTGAGTTTTCAATCTGGGTATGGAAAACATCAACAAGCCACAAATAATGTTCTCTGTAGCTGTGGTGACTTCTTCCAAGAAAAGAAACACATTTGAGATTTGGTCTAGGTAAGAGGCCTGGGTAAATTTCTTGGAAGAAGCCTTTCTCGGGATGAGATCCAAAGGACAGACTAATTACGGATCGAGCAAGCCTTGTCTTGACAAAAATCCCGTCCAGAGGATGGGGGGTGCCTCCAGTTATAGTTCAGAGCACTCAGACCTCAGTAGGGCAACGCAATTGCCGAAGGTGATGGATGGGAAACCGAGGTTCAGACTCAGACAAGAAGAGGGCCCTTCATTTTTGTGGCTCATTTATGGTATTAAGCCAGGTGTGTATCTGAGCATCTCAAAATCACGAAGGTTTGCCACACTCAGGGAGATGTTAGCTTGAGCTGAATGGAGCAGAGTATAAGACATGAGGGAGCTGGATGAAGTGGTGCTTGCCTGGAATCCCAGAACTTGGGAGGTGGTGGAGGCAGCAGGATCAAGAGTTCATGGCCTTAAAGCAAGATTGAGGCCAGCCTGGGCTACATGAAGCCCTGTCTTATGAATTGAGTGGGGGACATTAGGGAATGGTGGGGACTGAATAGGTTACATTTTCCCTCTTAGGAGTAGCTATTAGATCTAACCTTTGCTACTAGACTGGAAAAGGGGTCAAGACTTGCCAGGCCAGGTTAATTAAAAGAAGTTGGTTAGCAATGGGATAATCACACTTTTGAACAACTGAGAAGCACACCCATTGTTTCTATTAGGATGATAGCTTTATGAAATAGGATGTAAAATATTTTTTTTTTTGAGAAAACCTTGCCAGGTGGCCTTGTCTTGTGTGTGGTCTTTCTGCTTCTACTTCTGGAGCGCTGGGATTCCAGGCACTCATCCCCATGCCTGCATGGAAGTGTGCCTCCCTCTGCCTCTGGATTTGTGCAGGTGCTTGTCAAGGGAGGTGCATGGAAATTTTTCATTTGTTTTTGGTTAAGAAATTGCTTTCCTTAGGTCTTGCTTCAGAAAAAAAAAAAGATCATTTTCTTTCTCTGTTACCTTGGCTTAATTAAGTAAGGCAACATTTCAAGCCTGTCTTTTGAAGTTGCAACCTGTCTTCTGTAAAAGTTCTACCTTGAGTAGAAGACATTTGGACTCACCTTCATTATCTCTTAGGTGTGGAGATTATTATACTTTCTGGTCTTTCAGAAGTATATACCCATATCTCAGAGGAAAATTTCAGAGGTATACAAAAGTAGAATTAGCTCATGTTCTTGCCATTCAGCTGTAACCGTAATCTCTCTACTCTGTACCTCCATCCAGTCTCCTGATCCAGAAGTGTTTTTGAAGCAAATTCTGAGCATTCTGTGTATTCTGTGCAGGCATCAGAATGTATTGCTGAAAGTCAAGGGCTCTGATTTGAAGCAACTTCAGTAACATCATAAGCCCACCTCAGGCACATCAACAGTTCTTTTGAATAGAGGCTTTTAAAGGACAACCGTTGTCCCCATGTTTGTTAATTAACCATTATTCTGACTTCAGCACGAGTGTTTGTGTCTTGAGAGCAGAAGAGTAAGTGCTATTTTGACTTCAGCATGAGTGTTTGTGTCTTGAGAACAGAAGAGCACATTTGTCAACAGAGAAGTACATCCACACACAGGTCAATAAATGCAAGCTGGAGACACTGAAGAGTAGTTATCTTCCTAAGATCACAGTCCTCTGAGTAGATCGGAGACTTCTTTCTCTGCGATCCCCAAAAGAGCAGTTAACCCAATTGCTTCTTTGGTAGACCATCTCACCATGGGCTGTCATTTCATAACCCTTCCTAGCTGTTTTGGCACTGCTCCCCTGTCCATGGTGCTGACCCAGTAGCCCTTTGGCTAGCCATCTGAAGACCTGAAACTTAGTTTGGTTAATATGATTTAATGTAGGATTACTGTAAAAGTGATCATTAAATATGCATTAAACAGCTGCAAGAAGTGCTGTTTAAACATGTGCCAAGTAAAAACTAACCCCACATTCCAAGCTGGAAAGCATCCCAGTAATACTGGCTAACTTTCATTTCTTTTATGCCCTCATAAGAGAAATAGCCAGATTTAGACAAATACAGCATGTGTATTTGTGTGTCTATCTCAGAAATGTATTTCAAGTATTATTTTTTAATCAAAGGTAATTAATTGTTCATTTTACAAATTAAAAATTGCCTTCTTACTGGATAATAACAGTAATTGTCAGAATAGTGTAAAATATCCTAGTTCTTAGACTGTTGAGCAAGACAATAGCAAGGAATGTTCAACCATTTTCCCCTTCAATGCAGACAGAAAGGCAGAGACAGCCAGAGGATTAAAATTTTTTGTGCCAGTCAACTTTCCTACCACTGTGTCATACTCTGAGCCCTCAGCTATTTCTTGATATATTCATGTAGTTCTCATTTTTTTTTTGATGTGGGCTGGAACAATGGCTCTGTGGTCAAGAGCACTGGTTTCTCTTTCAGAAGATCCAAGTTCAATTCCCAACACCACCCAGTGTCTTATAGCCACCTTTAATTCCAGTTCCAGGGGATCCATCTCCCTTTTTTGACCTTCTTGGACACTAGGCATGCATGTGGTACACAGGCAGGCATACATGCAGACAAAGCACTCATGCACATGAATAAAATACATTTAACAAAATTATAGCACCATGCTAGTCACTATTAGGACAGATAGATAACATGACTTAAGTCTTTTACTCAAAGCATTAACAATTAATACTAAAATGGAGAAAGTCAGAATTAGTATTTATTAGAATAAATGCGATTGAGGTATGTAGAGTGGCCATATTACAGAGCAACAGCCTGTGTAGGTGTCTCAGCTGTGCCTCCCCATGTATATGTGTGCATGGAGCCTGGAGGTCAACCTTAAATGTTTTTCCTTAAGAGATGGTCATCTTGGTTTTGGGGGTCCAGAGCTCACTGATGAGGCTAGCCTGACTAGACAGGAGCCCTCAGGTGTCTTTCTGTTTTGCAAGCATGTGCCATTATGTTCAGTTTTTTTCTTTAGTTAAAAAACTCATTGTTTGAGAATTCCATACATGTATGTAATGTGTTTTGATCAAATCCACCCCACTTCTCCTTCCAATTCTGCCTCACCAGTCCTCTTCTTTCTCAATCTCATGTGTTCTTTTAATTTTTAGGTTTTAAAATTTTATGTATATGAGTGTTTTGTCTGAACGTATGTATGTGAGACACAGTGTGCCTGGTACCTGAGGAGGTCAGATTCCCTGTAACTGGAATTATGGAGAGTTTTGAGCTGCCACATGGGTACTGGGAACTGAACCTGAGTCCTTTGAAAGAAATAAGTGTTTTTACTGCTGAGGCAACTCTCTAGCCCCTGCTCTACTTAATAAAAAGACCCCATTGAGTGCTGCCTTCTGTGCAAATGTGTAGGTCCATCTACTGGAGAATGAACAGCTTCTCAGGATCTCTGTCCCTAAAGAGAACTGGCTCTTC